CCGAGGGCAGCGCCCCCGCTCCCGTTAATTAGGGCCTTAGCCCAAAAAAAAAAAAAAAAAAAAAAAATGGATCAAACATAGACTCAGCAATATACGGATACAACTTGGAGAGGTATTTTATTCTGTAATCCAATTCAAATCACAGAGTGCAATATTTCATCTATCATTTTCTGTTAAGAAATTTTTATCTTTTTCCCAAAGCACAAAAAATGTTGAGAAAAATGATCTACTGAAAACATGCTTATGTACTGTTGGGTACATGCATGCATTACTTGGTCAGGCCTCTCTATGCACTATTTACTGGATCAATGCAGTGTGGCATGAGGGAGACCAGTCTCTTGTAAGGAAGCCCAGTTTTAAACCCAGCGGCTTTCGACCCTCCAGCATCGTTGGGGTTGCTGTGTCTCATCCTTTTCTTGACACTATCCCACAGATTGACTGTGGGGTTTAGTTTAGGTCAGTTTGCTGGTCAATCAAGTGCAGTGACATCATGGTCATTAAAAGCAAGTCTGATTACTTTTACAGTGTGAGCACGTCCCGAGTCCTAAACCTAAAACGAAATCTTTTGAATTTTCCCCCCAAATTTTCTTCACAATCATCTCAAAGTTGCATCTGTTTACATTCTCCTTAAATAAAGCTGTCCTAATATGCTTGCATACAGCACTCTGAAAAGCTGGCATGTATAAACTACGCTCTTCAGCATATAAGCAAAAAAATGTGCATTAGTGACTTTGTGTGGGTACCTGGTTCTTGTTGGGATTTTCCATTAAAACACAATCTTTCATGCTGTAGGACACCACTGCGTTGCCACCCAGAGCTGCTACGTGGGCTCGAACCATCGCAAACACCTCTGCGATGAACGAATGGAGGAAACCGCTAACTCCACCTTCCTGCAGAAAAAGCAAGCGCGTTTCATGCAACAAGAAGCACACCCAGTGGGCACAGGGCAGCGCAACGACCTCCTGCAGCATCAACCACACCTCTCGTAGGGATGTGGTCTCTCTGATGAAGAACATGTTGATGATTCCAAGGTATTTAATGATTCTGGTCCCAGGGAGGAAAGAGAGCGGCGTCATCTTCACCATGGTCACAGAACTGCCCCCAAAGGAGCGGCTGGAGCGCAGAGAGCGGGGGCGTCCCTCCGTCAGCGGACTGCAGTTCTCCAAAGACGAGACTGAAGGTCCAGAGAGAGAGAGAACAAGGCCAAGTAGAAGTGCAGGAGAAGGATGTGAAAAGGCCACAGGAGGAGAAGACAGGAGGGCAACAAAAAAAAAAAAAAAAAGAGAACAAGAAGGGAACTGAGACACCAGTAACCACTCGACAATGGAAAATATAAAAGCAGATATGAACTTTGATGCACAAATGAGGGATGTCGTGCAAAAACGCAACTGGGTTAGTGTTTGTACAGCAGGGCATGTACACTGATTCAAAGGTAGAGCAGAAAATGTTCAAACCCATAGAAAAGTCCTGATTTGTATGAAATTACTTTACATCAAACATTCAATCTTTCAGGCTCAAAATGCCAAAAATATAATAGACATTGTGTTAAACTTAATAAGAGCCAAAATCACAAATTAAAATTTTCAGGAATAAAAAAATAAAGCCTCTCTTAGTCAGCACAGCAACCAAACAATGTTTTGCATACAAGTGAAATTGATCCTCTTCTGTAATTATCTCCAGACACTAAGGCTAGACGACATGCCTGAACACTAAAGTTGAATGTTTTCTTTTGCAATTTTGTAAGTTTATAATTTTCACTTTAACAGCTGATGATTTAAAGTAATTTTCTATAATCTTGCGATAATCAATATTATTTTTCTTTGATTAATCTGTCATATTACCTAAGGGTCAACTGGCCCAAATGTAAATCAGAACAAAAAACAATTTTAATAAGTTGTAATAGAAGCTTTTAGATAATATGCAACTACATTTAATGTGTGATTTGAGCATTTTTTGAATATATTTCCGTAATTTATAAAAAAAAAATAAATAAAAAAATACAATGACTCTCAAAAGAGTCCACATCAAATAGATAAAGCAAAATCATTTCAAAGCATTTTCCAGATGCCTTAAACTTTTAAAGCAACAGAAATCCAGATTCCGAAATGAAATAAAACATCTAGAAGACAACAATTGGTTGAAACTCTTTTTGAAAGAAAAATATTATGGTGTACCCTGGAGTCTTAACAGGTATTTCTATATGTTTAGAGTCACAGTTTCATTCATTTATTTTTGTGCTGGTGCAGTTTAGTTTGGGAAATGTCACCTTACCAAAGATTTGTGAAGATCACTGTGCTTCAAAGTCCATTCAGGTGACAAAAACTCCACAAGTGCATCAAACTTGCCTTGGAGGCATTTATTAAAGAGCGCTACAAAATCTCATAAACATCACCTGTAGTCAAACTGAACAGGAGAATCGTCTAACGCATGCGGCTGGAGAGGTCAACAATTTTAGTCCAAATTCCAACCCAGCCAGAGTGTAAACAGAACTAATGAACAAAAGATTGGCAATAAGGTAGTAAAAGGTGGGAAATAAATGCTGAAGAAGAAAAAAAAAGTAGGGAGGTATGTACAAAAGAGCTTTCAAGGAATTGTAACTGTGCAGGAGTGATAGAGAACAAGTCACAACTTTCCATGGGTAGGAACAATTTTGAGCTCACCTGCGTTGTTAGTATGTCATGACTTTAAATGCAGCTTTGCACGTATTCGGTGTACAGCGTCGAGACAATCACTCGGGAAAGTGCGCGCTGCCGTGCATGTCATGCAACTGAGGTACAGACAGACAGAAAATGTCTGCAGACAGACAGACAGACCTGGGCACAGCTGTTTTACAGGTGCGAATACAGTGCTTACAGTGAAATATCATGAGAGAATTGTTCTAATTCTTTGGTATTTGTGAACGAGGCTTGAGACATGGAAACGGACAGAGACAGCTATAAGCTGAGCTGAGCACACGTACACAAACCAGAGAGTGAAAGGTGCTTCACTGTGTAGTGCAGTTACCTGATGAAGTTTCCATCCGTCAAACCAGGAACCTTCAGAGCCAAACATTACACACACTGTGCACAGGACTGAAAATCAAACTAGCTCTTGTAGAGAAGCACTGCCCCCAGCCCCCATCCTACCATGATGATTTGTTCACAATATTGAGTCCAACGTTTTCACCTCCAGGTGCATCTCAGTAGATTACGCATGTCATCAAAATGTTATTTTATTTCAGTTGGACTCATATGATAGGTCAATTACACAGAGCGATGTGTATATTTTTGTTCATGTTGATGATTTGAGCTTGCAGGTCATGAAAACTCAAAATGTTACTCACTGAATTTGAATATGACACACAATAAAAATACAAAAATACCATGTTATGGCCTACGCAATCAGGGAGAAGACTGTTGAATTAGTTGAACAGCAGTCAGGGTTCCTTCTTAGGGAGTGCAAACACAAAATGTCATTGGTAAAGAAGCTGGATTTTCAGACTGAAGTATCTAGGTATAGTAATGGAAAGTTAAGTGGAAGGTAAAAGTGTGATGCATAAGCAACAAGGATTGAAAGGGGAAGTCCATTCAAGAGTTTGGGGAAGGAAAAAAATTCTACAGACAACAGCTGGAGTCTGTTCTAAAAGCTACCACAGATTGACGTATCTAGGATAATTTTCTTTACCCTAACACTAGTTTTCTTTCACTGCAGCATTCCGAACAACCACCTTTACTGTCAATTACATTTTCCACAAGAAATGCAAGGCGAGTGTGCCTGTGGAAGCTGTCTGTGACTTTCAGGGGGAAAATGTCAAGTCAGCAATTAACTTTTTACTGGACTTATGTAATAAGTGTGTAACAGAAGCTGAATTTTAGGTTTTCATTAGCTGTAATTTCTAATCATCAAAATTAACAAACAAAAAAAAGGCCAATATATAAAACTATATGTAATGGATTTTTATTATATACTGCTTTCACCTTTTGAACCAAATAACTGAATTAAAGTACCTTTTGGACGACATCCTAATTTATTGAGATGCACCTGTTTTTCCAATAAAGCGTGTCACATTTCCTCAACCTCGGAAGATTCGCTGATGCAAATGCGGAGTGGAATCAAAGGAAGTTTTCATGCAGATTTTACACGAGTGCAAAAAGGGGGGTGGGGGGGAAAGCTGCATAGTGTGTGCAAAAAGATAACTGCCCTTGGAATTATGAAAGGTTCACATGGCTACAGGCATTTTCAAGCTAAGCTGCCGATTGCGATCCCTCCGAAAGGGGCTGGACGTGAGCTTGTAAAACTAATCTGAATAGCCAGTGCTTTGATTTGGAAAAATGCTACATCTCTCCCCACCGGCATGCATGGCGGGGTGTGTGAGTGTGTGTGTGAGTGCGAGTGTGAATCGGCGTGTGCGAGACTGCTCGTGAAACTGTGTTCTGTATTTGTGGGTATGATCACCAGAGTGTGCTAGAGACTGTGTCCTCCTACTTGTCTTAACTGATCCTCGTCTTATGGTGTGCGCTTTCAGCCTAAGCAGCTCTAGCCAGGTGCTGCATCTGTCTGCAAAGGAACCGTAATCAACGGAGGCAGCTGGAGAAAACACACGCGCACACAACACACGCGCGCAAAAAATAAAATAAAATACACACGCACGCAACCCACAACCGAAGATACACAACAACAACAACAAAAACAATAAAAGAGAACAAAAAACATACAAGACACAAAAAAACAAACAAACAGAAAAGAACAAAACTGAATGAGGCTTTTGAGAGCGGTTTAAGAAAACTGTCCGAGACAAAAGGATAAAAAGTCAAAACATGACAAGTGTAGTAGTTTCGGTAGCAGGGAGGTGGGGAGAAGGGAAGAAAGGAAACGAGGTGGTGGCTTACCTCTGGACGAGACAATGGTATTTTCTGGGACACCTGCCATGCCACACACACACACACACACACGCACACACGCACACACACACATATATATAAACAAAAACCTGGTAGACATCAATCAGTGTTCAGTATTTTTTCTTTTCCTCTTACCAACAACTCAAGTTCAACAAAAATCTACCTCTGCAACTCGATTTTGACACTCGGATCGTTTGGCGTAAATAAAAACCACAAAGTTTCACTGCTTTTCACACATTTTCTACCAAAACTCAACGCTGCCAAATCTAGTTTCACGGAGCAAACAAGTCACAGTGGGGTGCTACTGTTTGTTTACCTGTTGAATGAACCACAACCAGCTGACTTTGGCAGAGTTTTGCAGCTGGGGTGAATAAAGAGACTGTCCCTGAAGTGTTAATGAAGTAAGGCAGATGAAGAGGCTCAGAGAGCAAAACCCCACCAAAAAAAAACAAAAAAAAAAAAACTAAATAATACCTGAAAATTTGGAAGAAGTTTGAGTGTTGGTGGATGACGAGTCAGCGCACAACTCCAGAGGAAACTGCAGCTGCTCTTCGGTCTCATTCCCACCTGACAAAAATGGACACTGTTATCCACATGTCGCCCGGATTTATCCACGTTCCGGGGGCAATTTCATGTAGTTTATTCAAAACACACTCCCTGTACCTCCTCTCAGCTTCTGAGCTTTGTGAGATGAAATGAAAATGATTGTAGAGTGATAAAATGTGGGGAAAAAAAGCTCAAGGGATGTTTGTACTTTTACAAGGCACTCTACACTTAATCAGACAGACCTTTGGTAATAAACCTCTCCTGAGTCTGGTCCTGGTCAAACGTCATGGCGACAGCCGTCACCGAAACCTAATCAAAAGAAGAATAAATTCATAATAATTTTGTTTGGAAACTAAAGAAAGTGAGATAATTTCCTCTGATAAACCAGAGATTGCCTCCAACATCTCACCTGAATGAGCTCTTCTTCTGGCACTGCTACAGTGAAGTTGAGATGACAAAGACAGCAGGGTATATTGGAGCGCAACTTGAAATAAAAACTCTGAAACAAATAAGAGAAAAAACAAACAAACTGTGAACTATTTTTTTGTTAGTTGGATCGGAGTTAGAAATGGCTCTTAGGGTTGTAACGGTTGCCGACCCCTTTTCTAGATCAATAAAGATAGTCTACCTTCAGCAGATTCTCACAGAGGTCAGTGAAGATCTTGTTCAGGCTTTGGTTAGAAAGGTTGGCATTGCTCAACCTCAGGACCCTAACCGATGTAAACATCTGTAATATAACGTTAAAATACATTTTGGAAGCTTACAAAAGCAGATATATCATCATAACGGGGTCACTTTAAATAGGTTTAAACTGCTCTTTACCTGTACTGCCGTAGTCCAGTTATAAATCCCAGGCATGGTCTCAGTGTTGCAGGTGTAGAAACCTGGAAAACAGAACGGACACAAACATGCCTTTAAATCTGAGAGGGTGGAGAGACAAGATGCAACTGAAACGGAAAGTAATGGGCCAAACCTGTGGGGGGAGATGCATCGATAAGGAGAGAGTGGATGTCCTCCACAGCGTCTGTGTCGTCAATCTAGGAGAAAAACAACAGTTTCAGCTTCCTACAGATTTACGTGAACACACGGGTCATCATTTCCACATTTCTCCACCTCCAGGACAAACGCATCCTTTTTGCCGTGCGACAGGTCCAGTTCTGACACTTCATCGGAGCTCTCCGAGTGCGAGCGGAAGAGTCGGGATCTGTGTCTGGGCTCGGGGATCGGAGAGCCCACCCCTTCCTCCGTCAGCTCCTGTAAGCAAACAGACAGGAAGTTATTGACCGGCAGAGCCGCTACCTGCAGGACGCATCGGTTCTGACTGTGCACAAACTAAAATCACAGTTAGTGACAATTTACATGCTAATCATATGCAGCTTTGCTGATACAAACACACACACACACACACACACACACACACACACACACAGACCTTGTGTAAAAAAAAAACAAAAACAAACATTAAATATCCAACGGTACAGTGAGTAGATCTGGTGAGAGTTGCTCATTATTTGGTTCACAAATCTCCAATTAAGAGTTGTTATACAGTTACAGCACCGGTGCTCTAGTGTTGTGGTTAACTGAGTGAAGTGTTGCTCATGCTTTGCTGAAACTCCGAGCTGAAATCCAACATGCTCAGTACCAGGTTTGTGCTGCAGAACACCTCAGGGTCCAGAGCAAATAATTTCTTTGATGGTCAGAGAGAGACAAGAAGTCTATCATGATTTCAAACAAAACAAAACAAAACAGAGCAGGCACACAAAGAAAAACATTTATTGGCTCAAAAGTGACAAAAGAAAAAAAAAAAATTGTTTCATGTTTTGCATCTGGCGTGATTTGTCATTTAAACATCAAATACATTTTTAATATAAATGTATGTTGGTGTGAAAGGTTGAGATTTTTTTTAGATGAAAGAGTTATTATTATTGAGGATTTTCATGTTCCACATTTAAGCTAAATTTGGCTGCATGCGTACTGATATGTTTCTGAAAATCTACTTTGGCACAGCAAAGACAAAGGTCACCCTCTATAAACTCCTGCAGTCTACAGCCAACATGACGCCTCCTTACCGGAGGGTTTATTTGGTGGAGCTCCTTGTTCTTGGCGATGGTGTCGTTTATCCTTTTCTGGATGGACTGGATGTGCTGCTCGTTGTTCAGGTCACCGGAGGTCTTCCCAGCTATCTGGATGCCCCCGGGTGCAGGCAGAGCCGTCAGGTACACTCCTGTAGCAGACTGAAAAATAGAACATATGTTCTACAACGGACTGAGGTCAGCCATGCAGGTAACTGACTTTTCAAGACAGTTTAAAACGCTGTCTTACAGCAAGACCCAGCAGCATGTTCTCGCCGACGCTGATCTGTATGTGCAGACCGAACAGAGCATTCATGCTCCGGAGCTTCAGCTTATTCATCAGCTGAGTGTGCAGCTCGTATTCCATGAAAGGCAGCAAGTTTGAGATGGCGGTCGCGTTCACTTCTCCCTGAGCTTTCTTTTTCAGACGACACAGCCTGGAAGGTGAGAATCAGTGACATTTAGGGTGCCCTTAAAGACTTATAATTCATTCAATTATAATAAAAAAAAATTGTTTTTTCACCTTTGTGTATAGAACTGAGAAGTAAAGAAATAAAAAAAATATATAGTGCATTTCAAATCTAGATATCTAATCTATTCTAAATGTTATACAGCCAAATATCCTGTCTTCCTTTTTTTTTATTTGGACTGCCGCTCAAGTAATTTTTTTTTTTGGAGTAAATCTAGATAAACTTAAAGGTGACAGAAAAACATGAGATAAATTTGCTTTTATGTATGACTGAATATGAATTCAGATCAGAAATAACGAAGAGCTGCCGCGGTCTTGGCACTCGGAAATGAAAACGATTTTTTTAAGGGCCTGGTTTCTGATCCTCCTTCTTCTCACTGAAGCTGCAATAACTCAGTGAATCACAGCGTGAATCAATACAGACTGCTGAATCAACTGGTGCAAAAGTACATATGGAATGATGTGAGTGAATCTGATGCAGTCTGCAGCCTACACAGAGTCTATGAACAGGAAATATATTAGATGATATTAGTGCAAATGCAGAGTGGCTTAACTTACACATAACAGGTAATCAAGATATTGTTCAAAACCTAACCAATATATTTTATGTAACTGCCTTAACTCCTGCTTTTATTCATTTTCAATTATTTATTCTTCAAAGATGACCATAAAGTTATCTGCATTGTCTAAGTTTGCACTCATAGGTGCATTGAGGTAAATTCACATATCACCAACAGATTAAAGGCTTTTAGGAATTAAATTCAATTAAAGTGAAATTTGCAGATAGATTCATTCTATGGAGCTTATATAAATCCTATATTTAGTTTTCCTAAAAAGTAGAACATCTCAGATAAACCAAAAAATTATAATGACACACAAGTGTTTCCCTACACTGTAAAGTATGTCCATGTAGTAAAGGTTAGATGCAGTCAATATGTAAACCCATTTTTGCATGAATTTGCATGAGTCTGCTGAGGTGCTAAGGAGGCTCAGGTTGCTTTAACAGCAGCCAATGTGTGTGTGTGTGTATATATATGTATATATATATATATATATATATATATATATACTTATATATATATATACACCCACACACACAAGACATATATTGAATTGAACTGGGTTCCGTTTTTTTCTCATCAATGTCGCCATAAAGCACTTTGGCCCTTTAAAAAAATGTCAGATAAGAATGACAACTGTGCCGTTTTACCTGGCCTGAATGAGGCAGCCTTTCCCTGTGACTGCTGCCTCCGCTGGCAAGTCGATTGTTGTGAATAACACATCTGGAACCTTAAAATAAAGGAATATTTTGCGTTTTATCCACTTTTTATTCCTTGACCAGGTTAAGTAAAACCCAAACGGTGGCGATCTATTTTTGGAAACAAGAAATTTGCTACCTTTTGCCGCCTGCAGTTGTAACAATATGTGAGCTGGGCAGGAAACGGCATGTTGAGCTCGTCATATGGGATGTGACAGAAGCCACAGCTTGGAGGTGATGGATCATCGAACCTGTCAAAAAAGCAAACCCTGTGTGTATAAGCAAACGAAAGTCCACAAGATTTTACCTAAAATTACACCAAGAAACTCAGATCAACCTGTGGTCGGTGCTGCCGATGTCGAGGCAGCCTTCACGCATGTACCGAGGATTCAAGATGGTGGCTGTCCCTGATGCGGACAGAATACACACCTCTTCACTGTAATGAGAAAAGTAAAAGTTGAAAGTGAGAGACAATGAATGTAAAATGCAAAGATGCAACACTTTTCTTATTTCGTTCACACAACATACCAGATGCTTGTGTTCTCACTGTAACCTACAACAGCATGGCAACCAAGAGCTTTGGCATGAGATTTAATTTCCTGACGAATCTCTTCCCACCAGGCGTCACGCGTCTCGGGTTCATCTGCAAAACACAAAATTGTGATTCAGTGAGCTTTCATAGAACAGGAAAAAACGAGCTGAAAACGAGTTTTTCCAAAACTAAACACTGGGATTGAGGTAATGGCAGAGTCTGAGTTTGCATCCAATCTAACCTCATTAATTTACACAAAATATCTATACAGCCAACAGAAACTAGTTTTTTTTTGTTGTTGTTTTTTTTCTGTTGATTTATGAGTTAAATTGGTGTACCAAAGCAAGCAGAAACCAATCGTCATTTCGTGAGACGAAGTTAAAGTGAAAATGGTTGGTGAGAATTAGGGGATGATGAAGTTATTGTCAAGGTCTTGACCAGGAGTCAAAGGTGCTTCATATCATGTGTGGAAATACACATGCTCTGAAACTTCATCACTCTCTTTCACTACCAGGAGAAACAGAATGGCTTTATGAGGCCACTTTTACCCCTCTGCTTTTTCATAGAATCTACCATTATAAAAAAACTGATTATATGGTTAGAAAGTGAACCTAGAAAACTAAGGGGGTGTAGGACTTTGGTGTTACCCTGAGCCTTCAAGAGAAAGCTTTGAGGAATGAGGGTGTTAAGAGAGTGTGGTCTGGTTTTCTGCACTGAGGTAATGGCGCAGTTTACACTGCTGGACAGCTACCTGAGCAGCAAGCCGGACTAATTAAGTAGTTTATATTAGCCTGTTATACTAAGGTTTTTACTGATTAAAGAACAGAATGACAAAAAGAGAAGATGCTATGAAATAAAAATGCTTACATTCATTCTTCTAATTTTATCAGGTGTTTATTTTATAATTTGCTTAAGTTTATCTATACATTTTAATATATATACAATGGAATATCGCTAATTACCATAATAGTCTCATTATGGTAACTATTTTGGAAAAAAATATTAAAAATATCAGGTGTAAGATGATGTTTTACATTTCTACTTGAAATGCTTGTGTGAATACCAAAGTACTATGAAGCAATGGTATTTTACTGAGGGTAACTGCACACACCAGCCTGGGTGAGGTTGAAGGTTCAGGGTAACTTTGTTTCTTGGGAGAAAGTCATATATTTCTCCCCTAAACCCTAATTACATTATGTGGCAGAGAAAATATCTACTGGTAGATAATCCCCGGGGCTCTGAAAGAAGTAAAAAAAAAAGAAAAGAAAAAAAAAGACTTAGCCCTTTAACTGGTACAAATAAGCAAAAAGCATTTAATATATAAAAAAGTTGTACTTCCTGTGGTCTCGCGAGGTTTTCTTATACACATATGTTTTTGACATTTTGTGTTAGAGTCTAACACTTACAAGCAGAGAGACTGTTTTCACACACGTTTGCATGAACAAAGAAGACGTAAATAAACCTATGAGCCATCCAACATCACTCCCTGGGAGGGCAACATGCGGATGAAACTTAACCGTGAGATGAAGGCGAGGAATGAGTGAGGGCAGAAGAGCGAGTGTTCAAACTGAAACGGATGAAGAATAATGACAGACCCCCACTGTGGGTTCCTTTAAACCAGTAGCAGCAGCATGTCGCCACAGGCACAGGCTCACCAACGTGCACACTCATGGCCATGTGCACGTTCATGGCCAAAGAAGGGCCATATTCATCCACTAGAGTCCGTCAAATCCGAACAGGCTTTTCTCAAGCCCGTGGCTTTTCCCATCATACGTATCATATCCAGAATATATTTCATCAATACAGTCAATCTGCCTCCATCCATCCATCCCTGCATTCATCCATCCATCCATCCATCCATTCATCCTTCCGTGCTCACTCTCAGTATGAATACGGCCCAGGGAGGCAGGGATGAACATGCCCAGTAGATGGCTCTTTGTCACAGAGTAAACCTCCTAAACCTCCTGCGGTCTAGACAGGTTTGACCACAATGCCAGTTCAGGAAGCATCACAAACAGCGCCAGGCAAAACAACGTCAGGGGAGAGCTCTAATGTGCAGCACGATGAGTTGGGTGTCTGCGCGCGCATGTGGAGTGGGGTAGCCAGGCCAGGCTGGATGGGGTGGGGGGTGACAACATAGAGCATGCTCAGCTCAGCACACACTCACACAGAATCAAGAGAGGAGGAGGGCAGCTCAGTGAATTCAGTTTTTAGCTATCAGGCTATGTTTTTTTTTTTTTTTTTTCTTATTGATTCATCTGTAGATAGCTAAGCTAGCTAGTCTATACTGATTGAATTTCAGCGTTCGATGACAACTTAGAAGGCACAACAAGCTTAACTTCACTGAGCTACCATCACTCTGGTGGAGTGAGAGCAGTAAAAGGGGGGGGGAGGGGGGAAATACCTGCAGTGACACTATTCCAGTCTAGCAGTTTGTATGAGCGCGTGTTACCCAAAGCTGGGCCAGAACACACCGTTAGTACAGAAGAGAGAGAGAGAACAGAAGAGACAGTCTAACAAACAAGCACAGCACAACAGCAGCACTCCACAATCACTAATGCAAAGACACACTAACGTCAGAGCTACTGGAACTACCTCAAGGGAGACTCATGAGGAACGGAGATGTTACAAAGCTTCAGGACTGGCTAAAATTATAAAGAGACAAAGACCAGAAGCAATGCAAAACAAAAGCATGCGACACGAGTCAACTCTAGTCGAGGTCACGTCACACAGACGACGTCTGATGTTTTTCTTACAAATGAGGGTGTTTTATGCTGAGAATTTGCTTAAATCAAGTGTGTTGAGAGATCAAGTATCACCTTGATGGGGAGATGCAGCAGCTGAACTAACCTTACTTTATTGCGCACCTACCTAAAATTTGTCCATGTAATAAATTGAATAATTTAAATACTTTATGGGTAGGCTATACACTCATCTGCCACTTCTAAAAGGTACACTGGTCTGTTAAATTGTTTAACACAAATGGTGAGCAAGTTACTTTTAATGTAGGATGTTTGCCAGAGCCAGACACGCCGGTTGGAGTATTTAATCTTCTTGTACTACCATCTCTTTACAGAAAGTGATCTGAGAAAAGAGGAAATATACGAGTTGCGCGAATTAAAATGCATTGATGTTAGAGGTCAGATGAGAATGGTCAGGATAGTTTAACGTGATAGGAAGGAAACAGCTCAAATAACCACCCTTTAAAGGACAGGATGTCATAGTGAATATACTCAATGTGAAAGCATGCAACTTTTTAAATGACAGTTTTGTGACTATTTGAGTATGCATTTACTTGGCAATCCCTGCCTCTCTCCATCTAATTTAGAAGTTCTGTAATTCTTAATGCATCATTAAATGTAGATTATAAATAATCATTTCTCCCTTTTTGCCAGCTATTGAGTTAATTTAAAACAGTCTTTGACTAATATTGTCTTTATTAGGGGTTGTAGACTCAACATTTACTTCTAACAACATAATGAATGGATGCATCTGGGTTTGTACCAACCTGGTACTGGTAAGCAGGGGCGCAAGTACGCACTTTCTTAGGTGTATGCAGAAATATAATGGAAAATAATAGGAAATACCTGGACTCTATGGAAAAATGTTAAAACTAAAATGCTACGTGTCCCTTTGTGCTCACCCATTTGTCAAAAATGGCTCCAAATGAAACAGACCGTGCAACACCGTTTTCAATAGAGATCACTGCTAACTGGGTCATGCCTGTGTTCTTCCCTGCTTAGTCTTATGCTCAAACAAGCCTCATTTAATAGCTTTGAACAAATGACTAATGCAAATCGCTAAGGCATTTTGTAAAAAATATTTAAAAATGAATCACTTGAGAGTAAGAGGATACAGCTACACCTTCACCTAGGATTAGACCAACCTGTCACATTCCACAGTCTGTCCTGACTCTTTCTCTGTCTTCCTGTCATTTTTCTCTCCATCCTCACAATTGATTGCCGTGAACTCTGTATTAAGTCTGTTTAAAAAATACAAATCACATGTAAAATAAAAACATATTTTATTTTTAAATAATGTTGTTGAAGAACAGTTACTGACTGGGTACTGCATCTGATCAGACTAATCAAGTATATTACAACAAAACTAAAGTAAAGAACTTTAAATTTGAGTTTATCACTGTCAACTTTTATTATTTATCCGTTTTATGATTCACCAGTTAAAAAAGTGATTACTGTCTGAATGTCAGAACAACAACAACAAAAATACAAAAAATCTAAATTTTTCTTGCTAAAATCTATTATATTATAAATGCAGCACATAGATCCAGGACAACAGTGACCTGTCATGTTACTAGTAACTCAAGTCAGATTTTTCATACACAGACATAATTATCTACCATCTTTCAACCACTTTAAAAAGCTTTTTTCATCCTTAAGACATCTTTATCCTTCTCCCTCTTCCACTTTGTTTTGTGCCAGCTTTCGTTTCTGCCTCTCCATCTTAAGCTTCGTGCCACCAGATGACAACACGATTCAAATGGAAAAAAAATAAATAAAAATAATTGCGCAATGGAGCGCCAACATTTGCATAAATAAAAGCGACACTGCTGGCTCGGCTCGCGCACACTCAACACAAACCTCTGGCACCGGCACTATAATTCAGCTTTTAGAGCGACAGGCGGAGTTGGGTGAAGGAGCAGAGGGGCGTCTAATCAGTGCTGCGCCTTTGTTATTGATTACATCATTTACACATGCACAAAGCTGTTAAATATAGAAAATGTCGGCTAGAAATCCTTTTCCCGCCAGCACACCTGTGCATTGCATATAGTGCATACCCACTTTGTGTGCCACTGCTGGAAAGGTATACCTAATAAAGTGGCAGATGAGTGTATATAAGTGGTAATACATGTGATAGCAACGAAAGAATCGCAGTCAAGTATCCTAAAAAGTCTTAAAGCCTATACTCTTGGTTCTCCAGGGGCTTTCCTGATCCATTAATGGCTGGATTAATTTTTGCTACGTGACAGATTAAAATTTTTTTAAATGCATATGTTCCTAATAGGATCAAATAAAATTGAGAAATAATAATTATCAAGGAAACATTTTATTAGGAGCTTAAAATCTACAGTTGATTTTATACATAAATGATTTTACACCATTGTTGATCCCGCTCCTTAATGACATAGAAACGAGAAAATACCCATGTATAAGAGTCGTTTATTCCAATACAATAAATTAGATAGCAAATTTCAAATGTAGTATTTTTTTCAGGTCTCCTGTGGCCTTCTTAAAAATGCCCAACCTATCTGAACCCCATCCACATTTATGAGCTGTTCACTTTGTAGAATCAATGTCGTTGTCATTCAGGGATCAAAGACAAACTGGACAATCATCAAAAATATCAGCTATCAATCCAATGCTTATTTAGGTTTGTGGTTGTACTCAAAGTCAAGGCTATTTTTGATCTTATTCCTATTACATGTGTTGGATAGAGAAAAAAAAAAAAAAACATCTGGTCCTTGTCAAATCTTTAAAGATGTGAATACAAACACAGCTGAATATGAGCACATTAAGTACTCTGTGTCATTATTTAATCAAAATAAAGTCAAAAAGTTTTTATGAAGTATGAGTTTAAGTCGAAGCCTGGAGCTGTTCACCAACATATTTAACATTAAGAACAGACATTTTTTAAAAAGTTAAAATATTCTGCTGTTTGTTGCTCTAACAGTATCGAAGTGTGTGTTACCACAAGGCCAAAAACAAAATAAAACAGCTTGATTTAACATTTCCTACACATAAGTAAGGAAAGGCTTTCAAAGCTCTCTTCAGAATACTTAAAGAGCTCCTTACTCTTCAGAAAGATAAATAATCCACAACACATTCAGCTAAATGCGGTGGACTTGTTCTGCAGCTGAAAGACCAGAGTCCATTTTAATCATTAAATTAACCATAAAACCTTCTGCACAGATTGAATTACAAAAGATGTGGGTGCATAAAGTAATAAATTCTTGTTTCATTTGACCCAGCCAAATTTAAGACCTCATCATGATTAAAATACTGTGCAAAAGCAAATGGCAGAGACATAACTGAAACAAAATCTTAAGCAATTTAAAAACAAAATTCATACTGCAAACTGCATACTGTTACATTTAGCATTCTCTATAAATGCCCTGTGCTTTATGGGTTAATATTGTAAAATTGAAAAAGAAGGTTATCAAAAGTTTTATTAATCACACCTCAGACCTGCTAAGGACCAGAATGTTTTTTTTTTTTGTTTGTTTTTTTTTTTTTTAACGTTTTGCAACATGAACCACTACAAATAAACGGGATGCTCCCATTTTCTTTAGTGCCAAATAAACCAAGTTAAGTACAAATGATAAACCTATTTAAACACTCGCGGTGGGACAGAATATTAGAGAAACATCACTTCACTCTGTTGCAACTTGCAGCCAACACCACTACACAACACAATATCTGGAGCCATGCACCACTATTGTATGTCAACCCAGCTAAAGTAGCCACTACAGCATATGGACACACACAAACACAAAAAAAAAATATGAGGTGAAAGTTGTCCACATACATAAATTGTGTGACAAGTGACAATGTTTTACCCTTCTAAGTATTTGCATCAAAATACTCATACTCATAGCACTCATACCCCGAGGAGCAACTTTCACCTGTTTCAGAGCTCAAACATTTCCTTCAACACATTTATTTATTTATTTTTTTTCTGGCACAAAGACCATACACAGGAAAACCGAAAAACATAGGAGGATCATGGGCAGCATTGACTATCAGCCAGGTAAAACAAGACCAGACACTCAACATGACACACTCGGTCAATGGAGGAGTGCACTCACATCCTGTTACAACAGACAAGCCGCATTCGGATCCTAGTCCGTTGCCGTGAACTCACCGGGGTTGTGTATGCGATCCAGCAACTTAACAGAACGAGCACTGACCACGCCGCCGACGTGGACCAGAAAACCCGGCGGGAAAGAAGTCAGGGTGAAGAAGGGGAACTCCTGTTGATTAAGAAAATAGAAGCAGATCTGTCAATTTTGGAAAGAGACAGAAAAAAAAACAACTGTTTTACTAACATCTAACTAATTTTAGGTTTATTATAAAGCTTCATTGTTTCAAATGGTAAGGTAATTTTATAAACCTGAGAAACACTTAAACGCCATGTTCTTTGCAGCTAAATGATTATTTTTGAAACCAATCTTTGAGTGTTGTATGTAGACTTTGGTAAAAAAAAATTCAAAAAAAGCAGAGTTGGTTTAGGTGTGGACATGCAGAGTGTAACAAAAAAAAAAAAAAAAACATGCAAATGTTTAACCCAGAGAATTGAACACCTGCTCAATATCAGCTTACAGCTGAAAAGACAAATAAGCAAATTTGAAAAAGACTGAGAAACAGTTGAAGTCAAGGCATTTCGAAAATTCGGATTTGACACACAGTTTTATATTTTGTTGAGGATCAGAACGACTGATGGCATGCTCAATTTTGACCATCACCAAGGCAACCGGTAATCTGCCTCCAATTATGCTGCAAATTCATGCACTCATACACAAAGGAATCTGGAAAACCTTACTTCCCATTGGCATTCCTTCATATTGAAAAACGGGGAAAGTTGTGATTTCTAATCATGCAGGATCGGTATGAGATGAAAGGTTTTGGCAGGTATCAGGCAGGAATACAATTCATTTCTTTTGTGCCCAAAAAAATCTCAAAATAGCCACAAAACTGTCTGATGTTTTCTCCCACTCAGAGCAACAAGTTAATTATGAGGTGAATATTAGAGATGCACCAAGACAGTTTAAGAATTTTTTTTTTTTTTCTTATGTCTCAGCCAGTCCTTGGTAGATTTTGTTTCGTATTTTGGATCATTTATTTATTTTTCTCCATACTCTGACATGTTCTCTGAGTTTTTTTTTTTTTTTTGCTTTGGCCAAACACGTTCTCTATTTTGTAACCAAGTAATTTAAACTGAGACACATCTGTCCACAAAACTTCATGCCATAATTCCTGGTCTTTGTCTACATTCATTTTGGCAACTTTAGTTTGGCCTTCATGCTTTTCTTCAAGAGCAAAGGTTTAATTCATGCACATCTCCCATGAATCATAAACATGTGGAGTCATTTGTAAAGACTTCCCCTGTGGATTAGCGATAGGAAAAAGGCTGCTTTAGGCCTCTTCATGTCATTTGAGGGTTTTCAGAAATTTCTTATTGTTCCTCTGAGAGTCGGACTAGAGCCCTTTGGCAAATGTTTTACATGTATCCCACTTAGTGGGATACATGTAAAACATGTATCCCACTATAGTTACTAACTATAAGTAACTATAACCCACTTATAGTTAAGTGTATAAAGTGAGTTATAAATTAACCCACTTTATACAGTGGGTTAATTTATAGTTATTTTCTTAATGTATGTTTTTTGACTTAAATGTTCTTGCTGATAAAATTTTAATTAATTATCCATATTAACATAATCTCTGAAGACCTATTTTTTTTTTCATGAATGCACCCTGTCCAGAAATGTCAGTCATGAAAAATGCTACATCCAGTTTGAAATGCCAATCCTGTTATACAGCTTTTTTTGTTTGTTTTTAAATATTAAGAAAACCATTAACAGTCAAGGTTTTCTCTCACGCATGGCATGACATTGCCTCTGCACCAAATGCAAGTATTAATAACCAGTGATACTAGAAAGGCAACAAATACATTTTGAAAGCTGTTCTTGTATTGTTTTCTCATCTTCGGGAAGAACTGTGAATGATGTCGCCAGGTTAAACCGGCCACAGGATTCTGATCGGTGCATCTCTGTAGGGTTAGTGATGTCACTCTAAAAATAAAAATGTAAAAATAATCACTCGGGTAATTGAAAAAATTGAAAAGGATTGGATGTATTTAAAAATAAAGATTGTAAAAGTGATACACACATACCTCCACACACACACACCCGACACACCCCATCAGACTTAAAGAGAAGGCAACTCTTAGGCGTCTGGCCCTCCACCCAACATGCTTGTGACTATTTGGGCATGGTGGGAGTAAAACGAGCAAATATGACAAACGATCTTGCTCAACCCACCACCACCCAGGGAAGATCCACAAACAGCAGCAGAGGAGGGTCAGGTTAGGAGTTGACTGAGACTGCTTGGTGGTGGCCATCAGCTTAGTCAGGGTGTTTAAGGAAAAGGAAAAAAAAAAAAAAAAAAAAAAAAAAAGGTAGGTAGGCAGGGAGTGAGCGAGCGTCACACTGATGGGACATACCCTGGCGTTTAACAATAACCCAGAGGAGGATGCTCCCTGAGATGCACGAGTAATCAAGAGGACAGAAAAGGGAACATTATTTGGTCTTAAACAGGGCACACCATTTATATACGTTACCAGTGCAAATGAGAAATCTCTCACAGTGAATGAAATGTATCGTGTGACCCAGCACTCAGACATCTGAAGCAGATTTGCAACACAAATTGAATGTTAAAGCATCAACTGTCATGCTTAGCTTGCTGCAGTATACAGGGAAGTCTCAGGTGTCTAACATATGGAAAAAGTCAGGAGTGTAAACACATGTGAGAGAGAGAGAAAGAGCGCGTGTTCGATGTCACTGTACCCTCTGTTCGAGAGCAGTCTGCGTCTGCTGCCTCAGCAGCGTCTTCAGCGGTCCGGCCTCCTTCCCTGCACTGCCACCGCTGCCCATCCCTGGTTATAGAAAGCAAACTGGATTCAGTTTTCACACAACACACGTCTGAGCACACCTGGAAGCAAACCAAGCTGCCAGGTGATTACTGCATAGTAGCAATACTGATTTTATAACAAATGTGTTTTTCTTTTACTGCTTTATAGAAAGTTCTGGGCATGCTGGGGTGTCGTTTCTGATCGGACAGGATCTGTTTGTGACCTGTAGCCGTTGCCGACCCATTTCTATTAGTAACTTAAGGACACACAGCAGTCCTACTATACCGGAGGCTGCCAGCAGCAGGTCCTCAGTGAAGGACACGCTCTTTCTCAGCAAGGCGGAGTCTGAGTGGGTGAAGGAGGGGATGGGCGGGGTGATCGCTCTGCAGCCAGAGCTGTGACCACGGCCCACAGAGCCCGAGCCAGGAAGGGACAATGAGTCTGCAGAGAGGACGGGGGAGCTGGGGCAGAGGAAGATCCCTGGCCTGCGTCTCCCTGACTGGGACTCGTCTATCCAGCAGAAAGAAAAAAAAAAAAAGATGGAGGGATGCACAGAGAAAAACAGATGCAGTGAGAAAGAACAGAGAGAGGAACGATAGACGGTGGAGGCATAACAACAGACCATGGCAGGAAAAAGTGAAAATATGGAGAGAAAGAGAAAGAAAGAGAGAGAAATGAAACATGAAAGGATGCCATAGGTCCTAAACTGGGGCACTAGACTGGAACCACTGACCTGATTAGGTGGATCAGTAAAAATCATGACTGGGCTTGTCCAGTTTCATAGAAGTCAATACAGGGTTCTTTTTTATTTAAATCAATTATAAACTAGAGATTTCAATTCAAACTTTAGTGGCATCTGAAATTAGAAGAGAATTAACAAAAAAAATTACTGCAATCAGGTAAAAATTCCAAGTGAAATAAAAAACAGATTACTGATTCATCTATAAAGATCTATAATTCCAGTATTCTCTGTGTTCAGGCAGTGGGACTGAGAACAGAAAATGGTGATACAATGATACATTTAGGCCTTGACATATTTGGACATTGACATAAATATGTTCTGGGGATAATGACTGTAGTATTTAAATTTAAGTAGGGAGCTTTAAATTAGGACTATTAGTAACTAATATAAATAATCAGTTGAACATACAGAACTATTTAAATTATGTAGTTCTAGGTTAAGTACTAAAATCTGAGAAAAATGCTCTGACAAGTGCAGATTGTTTCTTTATTTCTTAACAGTTAAAGCAGTTTTAGGGTATTCCTGGAGTAGAATTAGCATAACAGTGCTAATAATAATCCCACATCTCCAAAAGAAAAAAAAGAAAAGAAAATAACCTAAAGAAAATCTCAATTTATGTTATATTTGAAAACGTGATTTTTCCTACGGTTGTTTCATCTTTTTTATGTCTGAATTATTCAAGACCAATATCATTAATAATTGGATGTCCAAATATATCTGGGTTAAAGTGAATACTAACTGAGGACAAAGACGAAAATGAGCAAGAAAGATGAAGTAGTAACAGAGGAGAAAGAAGAGGAAAGAATTAGGAAAATAGTAAAAAGAGGAGGAATGAACACTGAAGGACTGCTGGTCCACTCCTGCAGGGTCTGGAGGCAGCTGTGGTGAGAGGGTTCATTAGACTAACTGCTGTGAATCAATTGATCATGTAATTAACTGAATAGCATCCGAGCTGGTATAACATCTGATAGTATTATTACCTTAGTAAAATACCACGGTCTGATGGGCTCACCGCAGTTAAAAAAATACAGGTATTGTTTTATTCTTATTTGAAAAATGAAAAATAAATCAAAAGAATTACTTATATTACTGTAAATTTCTATCTTATATTGCGACATTAGAACTCTTAACTTAATAATAATAACAATATTAACAATAATATTTTGACATATAAAAGGAACATGTACTAACTTTTCCCATTTCATATTTGCAGAATATATATATATATATATATATATATATATATATATATATATATATATATATATATATATATATATATATATTATAATGTTAACCCGGCCTCAAATTTTAAGAGAAAATAAAACATATTGCTAAACATCAGAAAGAAAGGAGGATGTAAAAATATGATTTTGAAACTGGTGCACACAGTAGAAATCCAGAAATAGCTTGTTCCAAGGTAAACCTGTTTATTGCTTAATCTGGTATTCAGTGTTTTTTGGAATTCAGTGACCTGGGCTGTTTATTTTGCCATCAGACATCCAAGCTCTTAATTACCTTAGAGATAATAATGGTTGACCCTCTAATGGTAGCAAAGCCATGACTGACTGTGGTTTTTGCAACTAAAAAACATTTCCGCAGTCAAAAAGTTGTATAATTTTTTTTTTGTCCTAATTTTTGATTGTGTCTGAACCGTACTAAATCCAGGAACTCAAGATGCTTTGAGGATAGATGGAGACCAACCAGCATATTCATTTAATAGTCTGAATGCAATGCATCCTGGGATTGCTCACCACTAAAATCTGCCTCTCAAGCAGCATTGTTACTTGGACAACTTTCAACTGCCAATAAAAGAAAATAATAGATTTGTAAACAGTAACTCTTGTCTACATCAACTAAATAGTTATCTTGAATAATCAGGAGATTTTTTTTTCTTCAGTAAATTCCTTGTTGGATTGTTCCTAAACAGATAAAATGCATTCTCTCACGAGTCAGGATTTTATCAAGCAGTGGATAACGGGAGGCTTTCTGGGTGAGTTGCATTCTATGTAGATTATAACAGTTATTTTTGGAGCCTGACTGAATCACTGCATTATATACTTTAACGTACCCCAGTGGATAAGACTATGTATGCCAGCAAGTTACTGCAATTCTAACATCCTTAGTGAATGAACAGTTAGGAAAACATGTGGCACATGATAATGTTCGTAGATGCCATATGACTTGCAATAAATCAAATACTTAACAGTGCTAATGTCTTACTGCTTGGGTTTGTTGACTTTACCACCTGACCAACACTTGACCTTTTAAAACATTTTTTTAAACTGCACTGAGCAGTTACTAGCAGCATTGAGAACCTGAATGCCAGTTACTTAAATAATTAGTTAATGGTATCTGCTGTTCTAGCAGATCTTTGCAATATCAATGTTGTGTACTATGACATCGTGATTTATTTTGCAGGACTTTCATCGTCTTGAAAAATGAGAAACTACGGTTCAGATTTTCTGATCGGATTTTACCAACAGGGCAAAGGGTTGTTGTTAGGCTTTTCTACTTGCATCTTGATTAGCAAGGATGGACAGGAAGACTAAACGTGAACAGGGTTCACTACGTGGAAATATGGAAACATTGCACCATCTCCGGTGCTTCATAAAGGAAGTTTAAGGTAAAACGCTACATTCGAGTGCTTTTGTTCATTCTGACCTTGCTATACCTTGGAACTGGAATCGGGCACAAGTTTAATGGCCGCCGATGAGATAGTTAAAAGTCAAATCACAAACAGCCCTCTCGTGAGACACAGTGCTTCTAACACCACAAAATAAGTGGAGGAAAAGCTAAAACAGTGATCTGGTGCATCTTCACAATGCAGATACACCAGGCCACTGAGGACAAATGGGAAGCAGGGTATGGCTAAACAAACATTCACAACAAAATTCACAATAAAAAAAAGGGGTTAAGAACAAAAAAATCAAGTGTAAACAGACATGGAATTAAATATGAATAAACAAAATAAACAAAAACCATCACCATAGCAGCACCAGGAGTTGGTGTTAGGAGTACAGAATGATGAGAATGAAGGAGGGGTATGGGCAGAGTGTTCTTACCCGTCTTGGGCGTCAAACTGAGGTCTGTGTCTGATGAAGAGGACTGACGGCTGCATGGCTTGGAGGGAGAGAAGGGGGGAGGAGAGAAGGAGGAGGTGGGGAGGATTCGGAAAGGGGTGGGCGGGCCGGAGGACGAGGGCAGATCCTCACCAAATACCGGCCTGCCAGGAGAACATGACACACGCACACTCGTCAGTCACCGCCTCACCCTCGGAGCGTTCCTCTGTGTGTGATCATATGTGCAGTGTCACTCCTAAGTAGGGAAGGGGGCTCTCTCTCTTAAAATGTGTGACATGTTTGCTTTGGGTGAGGTGTGTTCTCGATGTGCTATGGATGGCCGGGGAAAACTAAAAAGCAAGCAGAGAACTCACAAAGAAAGGCACGCAAACACACAACAATAAAAAGCAAGGTGGCAAAACACAAAAGAAGATTTAAAAAGAAAAAGAAAACAGGATGACAAGCCGAAGCATGTGTCCCATTAGAGCGGAGCAAAGGTCAGGGGAATGTAGAGACACAGCAGGCGCTGCCACTAAAAACCAATAAGATGCTGCTGTTCATGATGAACAATTGAAAAAAAAAAAAAAAAAAAAAGTTACTAGGGTCATTTATCAAATGAAGGCCCTGTTTTGCCTTTTGTTGGGACTGATCTATCCTGTAAAGTGCTCTCACTTAAAATATAAAATTCCTTTTTTTTTTTTTTAAACAATCAGTTAGAAACACTTTTACTTTAAATTTTGTCTTGTTCCTGTGAACTGCTTTCCTTCGCTGCCTCTGCGTACCAGTGAAGATGAGTGTGGGAACAGAGACAGAGAAGTTCTGGGACAGCCTCTGGGAGCTGCAGGCTGAATGCACTGGACTGTTGTGGGTGGAGCGACATCCATGGGCAAGGGGAGACCTGGGCCGATCAGCACACAGACAGAGAGAAAGACAAAAAGAGAAAGAAGGACGCGAGACCGATTTGGACATAGGTGAGAAATGTCCCAATCCAAATGTGGGCAGAGAGAAGGGTAAAAGAAGCGCACACAAGAACCAGCACAACACTGCAGTTGAGGAAAAAAAAAAAGGTCAAAAGGTAATGAAAAGCAAGGAAGAAAGTAGCTTACCCCACTGAAACAGGCACTGTTTTCTAACTTAGTCATGTAAAAGCAACAAGTAACTCATGCACAGCACTCATCTTTGCTATGAGTATAGCAGAAAATGGCCAAAACAAACTCTTCTTATTAAAAGCATTATTTTTAAATATCTCTATTCCTCCAGTACTAATATTAAGTTGGGTAAATGGCAAATTTCATCCTGAAAATCAGTTTCTTTATTATTTTTTGAAAATAGAATGTGTGGAATGGAGTATGTGACTGCTTAGAGACAACACAGAAATGGATGGAGTAAAAACTGTATGTTGGACAAGTTGGTTGTTTAAAAAAAAAAAAAAAAAGTTCCTAAGGTAAGAAAATGTGTTGCATTTAATTTTATATTTCCTATAAAAAAATTAAAAGAAAGAGCATCACTTCTGCCCGTTTATCAAAATCAAGTGAATAAATTATTGATCAAATGTTTCTGATTCATGTTCTGATTTATGTTCTTACCAGGTGGACAGCAATACCTTAAAGTGACGTTTTGGTCCACTCCATACCACAAGATGTGGCGTCCTTCCAACATTTTTTCTTTTTATTTGTCTTTTGTTTTGTTTTGTTTTTTCCCATGCTGACAGCTAAACCTCTGTAATACAGATTAATCATCATGAGAAAAACACAGACAAATTACGTGAAGAAAATTGAGAAATGTGTCATTTTTCTAGTAATATATTGCTTTTTTTTAAATCAAGATTGATCAATTATGTTGAAGATAGTTTAAGTACAAGTGACCTTGAGTTTCCTTTCACAGATTATGCACTATTTTAGACAGACAATTGTGAAAGATTTTGATTTTGATGATTTCAAAAGTTGATTGTTTTTAGTTCACCAATCAGAGTTGATCAAAGGAAAATGGTCCATTACAATCTCAATCTGGCTGATGGCGGCACCTCTAATTTAAGCTAATGAAAAGTTGGCCAAAACTTTTGCAACATTTTTCCTCCCAAACAATGAAATTCTGATAAGCAGATTAGAAAAAAATCATACATTAAAACAAATATACCAACATTTCTGACTAGATGAACCGAAACAAAGATGAAATCTTTAATATTTGTTAATAAAAGTTTTAAAATGGCCTAGTTACTCCATTGTTAATGCATCCATTATAGTAAATGGTGAAATACTGACGTAATCAACACTTCTACGACTTAAAGTCGCAGAAATATTCCTTTTTTTACTTTTGTTTTTATATTGCTCAGACTACAACCCTCACCAAAAACCGTTAAATCTGTATATTATCGGTATAATCATTACCAGAAGATATTCTTGTATCTCATCATTACATTCACAAATCTACAGTATCGATGAAAATCAGAAGCACGCATGCACTCAAGTGTAGCTGAGCCAGAGGAAGCTAGATGAAAAACCACTAGCCAAGAGAATAAGACAATCAGAACCAGACGTAGACAGAACAGTGTTAAAAGCAGAGCCAAACACATGCGCTAAATTTTGATCACTGTAATGAGCAGTGAAACATGCAGGAGCAGAGCAGAGCAGAATGCCAAGCAAAAGCAGATTAAAGGAGAGGACGAGGTGAGAGGGGCAGGGGCAGGGACTGGCTTTATGTGTAGTGTGCATGTGTGTGTCTCAGGTTATGTTCTGCACCATTATTTCCAGAATGCAATATAAAAGACACAACACACGTAAAATATAAAGGGGAGTCCTTAATACTGAGACACACACAGGGCTGTAAAAAGGACAATTAAAAAAAAAAAAAAAAAAAAAAAGCATTCGGTACATTCTGTCCACATGGTCTCCCTCTCATGCGCACACAGCCCGTCGTCATTCTCACAAACTTGATCTGCGGAACGATCTGCACATAGACAGAGGTAAGGTCCATGCCCGTGTTCTGGGTTTATACTCACTCCTTTCCATCTTTAGACGGGGAGTTGCAGGCGTTAGAAGCAGGTGCTGTGTTAGGGTGCGTGTGTGTGTTCACGAGGCTTCCGGAGCTGTGTTTTTCCAGAGTGCAGGCGGTGCCTATGGCCCGGACCACCAGGCCAGACTCCCCCTCCAAGTCAAAGCACTGCAGGTAGCCCACCACTGCATTCCCACCCATCTCCAGAACTTTAAGCCCTATTTTCCTCTGCAGCTCTCCTGAACAAGGGGGAAAACGCACGGTGATGTTAGCAAATCCAAATTCGTCCTATTCCCAATCAAAGAGGATTAGTTTCAGGCTTTCGTACCAGACATGAGAGAGATGAGTCTCTGACGCGCTTCATTGGAAGCCCGAGGGGTTCTGATGCGGTCTATCCACTGGTACTCCGGGTCCTCGTTCACCACCAGTTCTTCTACAAACCCGTGCACCATGGCTGCTCGGTAACCCCGTGGAATAGATGTGGCTAGAGGTGGAATTTGGACAAAAAGAACGCTGAGAGAAAATGTGTTTCAATTCAAAGCTGCAATTCAGGCTTTAGCAGATTTCTAAGACTGACGGTGCTTAAAGCTCGCAGTCTCACTGTGTAAATAAATTACATCTTTAGATATCTTGTGACATAAAAAACGTACTGCAGAGAAATTTGACCCCACACGACGACTGCCTGAAACGGTTCAAGTCGTTGAAAAGCTCCACTTTTACAAGGACGTTGATTTCTCCTCTGATTCCTAATGAAAAATAACACAAACATTGTAACAAGGAAATAGCTCAAACTCTGGATTTATACGTTTCTCACACAGGTTTAGTTTTATACCATGTATGGTGTCGTAGATGGGGAACCAGCCAGAGATGACAGAGGCAGCTTCAGCACACAGCAAAGGATCAATGTCAATGTAAACTTTCCCTATGGCATCGTTAGCGCTGTATGTATCATGGTCCAACACTGTGATCTGCAACGGTTCATCCTGCAAGTCCTCATCATCAACCTGCACAGCAACAGATGGACAAGGAGAAGGAAGGAAACAAAAGTCAAGACGAAAACAAACAATTTAGATTCATTGAAGCTGTGTCGAGGACGTGATACATTTAGTCCGCCTTAATTTTGCATCCATTTTACCTCAAACTTGAACCATTCAGAGTTCCACTGTGGATTAAGGGACTTGGGAAAAACATCTGTTTTGAAGGTTGTATTTCCAAACTTGACCTGTAAAAATTAAAAGGGTAAGATATCTTTTAAAAGTGCAGTTAAGTAACTCTCTGCAACACATTAAAGAAAACAAGCTTTGCTTAAATTAAAATAAAATGTACATATTATTTAAAACTATTCCCAATATGTTTTGCTACAATACTCTAATTCTCTTTTATTTAAAATAAGAAGGATTTAATAAAACCAAATATTACTTAAAATATTTTACCTAAAAAGCATTACATACATGCTGCAGCTATTATTTTTAGAGTTACAGTTACAGAAAAAAACAAATATATAAAGCCCTGGAGTTTTATTCATGTGAGGAAAAAAACAAAACTATGTATAAATAGCACCAGCAAACTATTCTTGGAACAGATCTTGTATTGCTCCATTGATATGTTAATGATCCAAATGCTAATTAGCTTACAGCTACTTTCCTACCTAATAGAAACAGATATCAATAATAAAGTTAAAAAGATAAAAACATTAAAACCCGCACCCCTTTTAGGACTTTTGTTTAACTGGGACTCTAACCCTCTGGGATAAAAACATTGAAGACATCAAAACCAACACTCAAATACTAATTTAGCCATAAGCAACTCTAAACAGGTGGGTTTTAAGTTGAGATTTAAAGGTACCCAGTGTTTCAGCTGTTTTACAGTTTTCTGCTGCTGTTTGGTATTGAATCACATGTTTTTAGAAAAGCATACCTAAAAAGCCAAAGTGTATTTGATGTGTCTTGAAATACACCTTTCAAGAATTGTTTTTTTTTTCAGAATTATGTAATTTATTTTCAGCTTTCCAGATTATGCTTTTTGCACCAGGGTGAATGTACTTCTTCTGATTAGATTCTCCAGAAACAAAGTAGTATCTGCTCCAAAATGTATTTTGCTCGATTCCAAATATTTTCTAATGTGCATATGTTTCCACATACATTATTATTGTGTTTTTTCGAATAAAAAACAACAACAACATAAAACTGTTGTAGTGAAAGCATCATCTCTTACCTCAACAAAGGCATCCGTTAGATCACTTGCTCTGTCCATTACAGGCAAGTGGCGCCCTGCCACGATTTTGGCCTTTAATTTCCCAGGCATGGTTTAATTTGATCTGTATAGGTATGTGAATAACAACAATAAGTGCAAGCATAAACCTACAACTGACAATTGAACTAACCAAGGCTGCTGTCATCAAATTAACGGTGGTAAAGCTGAAGATTAGCTATTACAAAACATTTGTAGTACATAGATACGTGTTCTCAATTTATAGCCTCATAAGTAAATAAGCTTACTTATCTCAGCAATTCCAAGAATGTAGTGTGACACACAATCGGAACGTGAATACCAAATTTCCCTATATAATCACGACAGCGCCGACAACTTAGCTAGATTATGTTAGCAAAACAGGCTAGCCTGAAAGCCACTTAGGTTAACTTCATTGCAGTCAGAATCTCGTTAGCTCTGGTTACCTGATCGGCCATGTTTTTACGACCATCCCCTGCAGACCAACAACATATTTAACAAAACACCCTTCACACTCCCACCGCGAACAATAATATCCTTACCGGTGCTATAATGTAGAGAAGGAACAATTACAGCGGTAGCAGAGTCGTTTCACACGGACATTATTGATGTTGACAGTCCACCGTTCGCCTGACCTCCGTGTTTCTCCCATAACACGACACGTTAGTTCCCAGTCCCCCACGCAGGCAAGTGTTGGCGATATCCACTAGCATATATAATCATTCACATGGGTGTGTAAATTACGTTACATTTAAGTAGCGGCAACAATTTTACTTCAGGTTGCGATGACAACGGCTAGCATGACAGCTATCGTGATGAATGAGTTTTCAAAGGGTACCGTGTGCTGCTTTTACGTACGCCCCATAAAATCGTTCTTACAAATGTCACAATGGTACAAACATAGAATTATTACAAAATGACGATGCAGTTATTTTATTTACACTTAAAATATGCGATCAGACGTCTTTCTTAACAGCCGATGCTAAGTTATGTTTTTATCTTCATATATCTTTGTCATCGTTAAAAGGTTTTGTAAAAAACTGTGTCCATGAAACGCAGCGCAAACGTTTGCAGAGGGCATGCGCAACAATCAGCAGACAAGGCAAAACGTTTTTGTGTGTTTGTGAAAGACGTCTATAGTGATTATTTACCTTAAAAATGTGTGGTTTGTTTTTCATTGATTACTGTGTTGTCGACAATACCTTTTCCACATCATAAAAAACTACATTATTTTGTTTATTTCACTGTAGTAGTAAAAATGACAAACGATTTTCTTTAATTAAAGTAATATTAAATAAAAGTCAATGATCGCTTTTTTTTATTAATGAATTAAACCAATTTAAAACTGCTTATTGTATTTGCTCAAGTTAATAAGCATGTTTGATCTGAAACACTTATATGTGAGCAAAAAGCAAAAACTGAGGAAATCTGTAATTGATCTTGAATATTATTTTATGGTGAATGCTGATGAATGCTGTGAGGACTGTGGTTGTACATGACAGGAAATATCACTAGAGATAATTACTGTGATATAAATACATGCTTAATACATGTCTCTTTTTATTATTTTAAATAAAGGAATAAAAATGAACATTATTGTACCAAAAAGTTGTATGGTAAAATAGATGTCACATGATTAATAATCTATGCCTCTACAAAACTACAAGCTTTGAAGAATTTGGAAAATGAAAATAAGAGGACTCATTCAGATTCTCTTGAAAAAAATGTTGCAAATGTACTTTTTGTGTCTTGTATGCAGCTGGGTCATAAGAATCCTGCAAAATCTGCTAAAGATCTCACAGAAATAAATCATGTCTGAGGTGGCTCAAAGGCTCAACAAGTGCTGTAACAAAAAAAAGTGAAAAGTGAACAAAAGACAGAAGAGATTTTGGGTCAATTTAAGTTTTAAAATAACATTTTAGAAATTAGAATTCTTTTAAATGAATTTGTGAGGGAAAACGGCCCTTAGTTCATTAGCACTGTTGCTATGGTATTTATATATTCAGCCCTTGGGACATGTTGCCCTGCATATTTTGTGTGTTCCTACTCCAACACACCTCTTTCAAAGGAAAGAATTACCTCAACAACTTGTCAAGTTCAGCAGAGGCACTCCAAAGACCTGTTAATTCAAATAAGGCATGCTTGAGTTGAAATTAGCTCAAACATGCATGTTTAGAAGATTAGAATATTACATCATAATTTTAAAAGCATGTTTTATATTGACTTAGAGGTTTTTAATATTTAAAAGGTACTTTCAATCTGACAAATATTTTTAATTTACTAAGATGTACTTGTGAGTCCTTCTTCTAAAATACTGTAGTTTTTAACTCATGCAAAAATGTCCTCTCTTCTGTTTCATGCAGCTTCAGCAGGTTTATCCAGTTATTTATTGAGAGGGTGTGTCACGCTGCATAAAAGGCTGGTATTGTTCTAAAAAGCATAAAGTACACGAGTGCATGTCACATGTGACATTTGAAGTTGAGCACTACAAGTAGGAAGAGCAGCTTTGTTTGCCATTTCAGACATACATAATGTAGAAAACAATATTTTATGGTGGAATACATTTAGGTTTGGGGCAATTTTTTAATTTTTTTATTTTTAAACAAACTAGGTGTAACCATACATAAATTCCTATTTAGGAAAGAAACCTTGATTAGAAACTGGTTAAAGCATTTCTCACTTAAAGTGAGATACAAAATAAAAGCTTCTCTTGATTTCAGGAAAAGATGACAGAATGTCACTGTATATTGTTTATTTTAATACCTTAGATTCTATTTTACTTCAATTTGAAAAATAACAGCTAATCTTTTGAAATCCTTTCATCTTTTCGCTTAATGTCTTGCCAACAATCATTCCACACTAACTTTTAGTAGGTAAGCTCCATCAATTCTAACTGAAAATCCTGTTCGGAAACAGGATTGTAGACTTCCTGCCACAGCACATGTTGTCAGGCTCAACCTTACACTCCATCAGTTTGATCACAGGAGTCCATCAAGGATGTTTCCTGTGCTGTGTTGAAACATGACATACCAAATCAAGTACAAACCTACAAATTTTTATGCATTTGATTTATAGCAAATGCCTGCAGATGGGTGACTTTTGCTTTCTAGACACTGTATTACTTTCTTGAGGAACTACAAGACCCTACAGGAAATCCTTCCTGCCCACAGTCATCCTCGTCTGCAAAAACTAAAGAAATTTAATTTGCAAGAGCTCCGCCAACATCTAACTTCAGTTTGGGGGTGCTAAAGCATATATGGAATGAATCAAATCAAGGTATCTCTACATCAACGAGAAACAGAACATGTAAAAGCTGTGAGGAAATATCAAGTCAAGGGCTCAGTGAAAGGTTACAACATTGGGAGATAAGTGACTGCGTTAGACTGGGAAATGGAGAGCATGCCCCAATACAAACTTCTAAATCCAGTATGAAAGTGCACGGTAATATTATTCACCCACAATATCTTCTTTTTCAAGTTCAGAGTTTACCTAAGTGTTACAAAGTTTATGACAATGACCACTGAGGAAACTGAAACTTTATTCTTTATTTTATTTATTTATTTTTTAATGTTTTCCCCTGGGATTTGTCAAGGCAGTGTAACTTGTCCCTGAGAAGAAGAGACAATAGAAGAAAAACAAAATTACAACAAAGACATCTTTCTTCCGGCATAGAGCAAAAATAACTACATCTAAACTTAGAATTTTTACAATGGTTATGCATGAGCAGCAACAAAAGGAAAAGATCAACCTTTGAGGCCAAGACAACATCACAAACAAAAGATGACAGTATCTTCAGTGTTATAAATAAAGAAAACAAGAAAATGTCTGGCATCAGCTTAGAAAAGTCATCTTTACTGGCCTAAATGACAAGCTTAACAGTCTGATGTCCATCAGATTCAAGGCACTGATCGGAGTGGCACAAAGCTCTAGTTAAACTGGAATGTGTACCAACAATGAAAATGTAGTTGTAAACATGATTTTACACATTATACAGGGCTCCCATTTATTTTCCTGTGCCAAAATCCCATATATATTCTGAAACAAATTCAGGAGTTCTCTCCTTGAATAAATACAAACAGTCTTTTAACTTTTTCTGCACTCATCAGGCTTTAAATGTGGAACCTTATGGATGAATGAATAGATGAATTGACTGACAATTCAAGTTGGTAGGAGAAAACACAAGGCAATACAAAGATTTTGCGACTTTTTCATACTCATTCTTGAAAATACCTCAGTCAAATTCCAAACTTTTACAGATCAGATAGAAACCCTGTATGATAGAAATTTTTTTAGAATCTGCTCTAGTACCATTTGTGTTTGCAAAAAAAAAGAAAAAAAAAAGTAAAAAACAAAATTACACAACAGAACGATTAATAAAAAGAACATCAACTATCACCAAGAATATAAATAACCTTAATTCTGCTGGTTTTTTCATGTTTTCCAATAGACTGTCCACACATGCTAAACATAGCCATACTTAATAAGCATTAATTAAGGCTCAGAAAAACATATTGGTCCTTCAGCCAAGTAGTCTCTCAGATGTTATCTGAACAGTGTCCACACAGTAATCTGAAATCCTTTTACAACCAAGGATCAGATCAATGGCCTGTAATTTACGTACAAGTTATTTCTGCACTGCGTAAAACAAAACTTCCACATTTCAAGAACGAAATAAAAATAATCCTAGAAATTAAATACATAAAGGACTTGTCTATGCAAACAACTATTAGTGACTGCTGATTGGAATCTACATAATAAGACGACACCAAAAAATAGGGCACTTGATAAGCAAACTGAGGTATATGGCTGAGACTGAAAATAAAGCTAAATGTAAAATTAAACAAGAAACTGATTTTATAAATATTACATCTGTCATTTATAAAAATAAAGAACAGTTGTATTTAAGATATACGCAAACCAAATAGGATTTTCTTTCCCTCCTTTTTACCAGTTCACACTAACATGCAAGGATTAAAAAAAAGGACACTTGTGTGTTCTTGCATACATTCTTGGAGTGTATTTATTTAAGTTCAGCTTCATCTTTGGAACAATTTATTTTCTTGCCGCCTGTGATGCAGATCGGCACTTCAGGAGGCAGCATGGTGAACACCGAGGACTCGCAGTCGGTACCATTCATCATTTGGTACAGCAGTAGTAGAAGTCAGGAGCAAATCCAGTGAATAAACTCTGAGCAGCAGCATCTGGGTAACAATAAGCTCCATTGTCACCACATTCGTCATACAGACTGAGTGAACGAATTCAGGAACCGATCTAATGTCCCTTTGACAGTCAGCAGGTTTAACACAGTTGGGGGCAGGAGGCGTGGTCCAGCCTTAAAGTGCTTCGGTTGCTACAGTTGTACACATGGCGATGTTGAGGTGGGGTCACGTTTGGCTTGCCGACATCTTCCGGTTCCACATGCCTCGTTTAGAGTGATAGTGGTGGAAAAAGTTCCTCAAATAGATCCTCTCCACTTCCAGCCCACCTTGGAGGATCCTAAAGCAGAGAGCAGCATTGTGGAAAGTTTTAAAACTATTATATAAATAGAAATATCACAAACTGAGATAAATATCTTTGTTTATTACACACAGCACCTTTTAAAAGAACTCATACTTAAAGTTTTTGTAATTTTCAGTCGTTACGACCACAGTTTCTAGGTATTTTATCTGAACTTTATGTGATATATCAAAAGAAAGAAGTGCATACACATAATGTGTAAATATTATTCCTTTTTATCTTTAATTTATCTCCTCTAAAGATAATACATCTATGTGGCATCTGTGATAATGTAAAGCTGAAGCCATGTTCTTTGTTTGTGAGCACAAACTTAGTCAGGAGAGATGATTTTGATTCTAGA